AAAAGGTGCATTTTTTATATTATTATTATTATTATTACAGCAAACTCTTTCCGCCCTTAAAGAAAACTTACAATTCCATAATTTTAAAATCAGTCAAGTACAGCAGTTTGGAAAATATGAAGAACGCCTGAAACATTTGGACGTCTATTTAAGTTGTATATTTATTTAACTCTGTAGTCCTTATTTATACGTTCTGCTCAATATGCCAACAGGCAGAGTGAATCATGCTGATGTGAATAACCTGGTGAGGTAGATAAAAGTCTCAGAGCCCGAGCAGAGAGGATGTTCTGCACAGTGAGTGTAATTCTCCCACCCCTAGTGAGAGCAGCAGATGGTGAGAGGCCCCTGGGCTTTAACTGCCCCCCCCCCCCCCCCACACACACCACACACTCAAGCTCCTGGGCAAGAAGACAGAGCAGCCATGCACAAAATATCTGGCCACTGACTGGACCCAGCCACGCTTAGTGCCACAGGCTGATAAGACGCTCAGAGGAGCAGCGCTCACATGCTCAAGTAGACTTACAAGTATGTTAACCTGGTGATTTCTCTGGACCCCGACTTAACCCATCATGATCGACGTTGTAACCTCTGAGGCCAACTCTCAATAGGTGATTTTGACTGTTGAAAAGTTTTGTGGTATTTGATCAAATTCAACTGAAAATAAAACACAGACACATTGAAATTTTGAAATGGAACTTTTATATTTGTCCTGTTTTTTAATAATATGTCTTAACTTTGAATTTGTCACTAGCAGCATGTTTTCAGAAGTATGCAATGCTGTGTATTCATGTAATAAAAAGCTCTTTAGGTTAGGTTAGGTGTTTTTAAAAAAGCGTGTCGGAGAAACTGATCCTATCAGATGTAAAAATGGGCATGGGCTCGCCACTTTGTAAAAGACAGAGAAGATAAAAGGTTCACCAATTTAAGAATAACTTTTCTGAACGTAGGATTGCAAAGAATTTAGTCATGTCATCATCTACTGTAATATTATTAAAAGATTCAGGGAATCCAGAGAGAAAGCTCTTTATGCGAGGATCAAGGCCCAAAACTAAGCTTGTGTTTGCATTACAGTTCTTGGAAGCGCTCACTCTTTTCTCAGAACTCTCACTAAACTTCGTTCTCTTGTGGCAGTATCTCACAATTGGATCAAAACAGTTTTATTTATGCTTGAAACCATACAGCGCCATCATGCACAAGACACGAAGTAATGACTGTACTGAGGCTGCATGCTACATCAGAAAATTGTATGGGAGGGTTTTTCCAGCCTCCTGAGGCTGTCTTGCAATTCTACACAAGTTGCCAAATATGTAGCACACAGAGATTGAACGCCCCCCCCCCCCCCCCCCCCCCGTCTTCCTGGATCTCCTGCAACATGACTATACAGTAAATAGCCAAGATTATGGCAGCAACAGAGGATCTCTACTGAGGTAGGTTATTCAATGTGTCCTACTTGTTTTATTCACAAAAGAAACTAAAACAAAGAACAAACGATATGGTAAGCGTTTATGCTTTACGTGTACGATATAGCTCATAGGACTAACTATACGTCTCATGCTGTGTTTACAGTTTTCCTCATTATTTAACTCAAAAAAATAGAAATTTGCAGACATTTCTAATATCATGAAGCTTGTGTGTCAACAACGTGACTCCAAACTGCTAAACTCTGAGCACAGTTCCATCTGGCTCATTTAAATGTAATTTGAAATCACAGTTTTGGAAATCTCTCAACACAAATTGCATCATTTAAGCATTTAGCACACTTTGTATTGATAACTCAACTGGAATAACAATTTAATCCTGCATCAGAGTACGAAACAGCCCTCAAGTAACTTCAACTGACTTGTACAGGCGTTAGGCAAGACGATGGTGCAGCAAGAACACAGGGGAAGGTTAAGAGGAGGCCCCGCAGAGAGCAGAAGGCAAATTTACTTTTTTTTGTAGTGCCTTTGTTACCTTTTGCATCTGCACACTGGTTTTTCTTTATAGTGTTTCTCATATTGCCAATGCATTATGTAAGAGAAATGATTAGTTTTGCTATTTACTACTTAAAATAGGTGATGTAGTACTGTGTGTACATAGAATGTTTTAGTGGAAGGAGTTGTTTTTCAGATGAGAGAGCGTGGTTTTAAGTGCTGTGTTTCATTTTGCAAGAGAAGTGTGGAGTTTTGACAAAGTGGTGAACTCTTCCGATTGTGTTGAGAGTTTTGATGATTTCATTTTCTGGAAACGTGTTTTAACATCTGCCTCCGGTGGTGAATCACTGTGAAGAATGTGTTCTGGTGACTGTTAATGTCTTTAGAGTTTAGTAAAAATTCTCAGTGGGGCCTGGGAAATGTGTCTAGGTTGGAAACTGATGCCAAATCAGTGACAATTAAGAAAAAAAAAGTTTAGGATGTTGAGAATTTGGGATTTGGCGTTTTGGGGATTTAGAAAAGCAGACTGACTCTGTGGTGTAATTCACTGCTCAGAAGCACTTCTGAAAACCATTAGGTTACCATGCGACAAAGAATACAAAAAACAAATACAAGCAAGATCCGGAAATGCTGCTCATTTAAGGACTGAGGGAAAATGGAAAAGGGTTCGGCGGTCTAACAGATCAAGAAATTTAAAAAGAAATTAGAAATGGGGATGTGGCATCCACTGAGCCAAATGGGAGAACGATCGTCTGGCTTATTACCAGAGCACAGTGTAAACCAGTGTCTGGAATACTATGAAGGTGCCTTAGAGAACATGAAGTCATTGCTTATTCCAAAATGTCTTTAAGGATTCTAGCTGCTAAACTGAGCTGCCTGCTGACCATTCAGAACATCTGATTTATTCTGACACAGCGAAGTTGACACAGGAAGCCCTGAACTCTTAGCAGCTGAAATCTTACCTCATGAATAAATGTGGGGAAAAACATTTTAGAAAATAGAGTAATTGGCCTCCTCACTTCTCAAACGCTTAGTGTTGGTAAAAGAAGAAGTGATGCAACGTGGTGGTAAACATGCCCCTGTGTCAACTTTCAAATCCAAACCTCTGATATTTTGTCTCTGCAAACTTTTTTATTTAGATATACCTTTTAATTCTGCAACTTTTGGAAGCATGCTTTTTATACATTACAGCACATGCATGAAGTACTATTTCATGAGAAACAGGGAAAATGTTTCATTGTAACTGCAAGGACTCAAGAGGAAATGCACATAAATCCATAAGAACGATGTGAACTGTTTCAGAGCAATAAATCAAAACGCAGAAGCGCTTACGTACCTCGAGCTGAACCTAAGCCTTTTTCTTAGAGATCTCCTTTGCTGTATAAGGAGAATCCGGCTTTTCACTGCCTTCAGTGTAAAACTGCAGAGGTATGTACATTTGGTCAAACTTTCAATTACATATGTATTGTGGGTACTAAAAGGTAGCTTCCCCTTCTGGGCTCCCATGGTTAATCTTACAGCTTGTGCCAGCATTAAACCAATAATCTTAAGACATGTGACAAATGTGCAAAACGCTCCCTAAAGGGGAGTAAAAGAGACCTGCGAGTATTTCTACAACCAGGCAAACTGGTGGTTCCTGAGACGACCTCAGACCTCACTGCTTCTCATGCAGCTTCTAAAGTTTTGTTTTGATTTTGCTCTGCATAAGCTCCCCCAGAGTGTCCTTACATGTTGTGAAGCAATGTGATCAAACACTGGATTACTGCTCATTAACACAGCAGAGAACCCACAAGGCTGTGGTTAGGACTTAATGGGCATTTTCAGTTTCATCTCCTCCACAATGTGTGTTTAAGTTGCTGCTTGCACAGCCTCGGGCTCAGTTCTTCCTCTGGTGTCTTAATTGCAATTTCATCAAGAATTTAAAGCCATGTAGCCTTCCCTATTCTTGTCACTGTCACTCTAAACTAGCCACCGGCAGGGACTTCAAGGGTATTTTAAGCGGCTATTGTGTATCAGAAGCGGCTTGGGAAAGACTTACTTTCATCATTGTACTGCTGGACCTCCTCTTCCCCCCTTGGAGTCGATCCTTCTCTCACTCTCTTTTTCATGGCTTTATCACTCAAAGACTCAAGCAGCTCAGCAGAATGTAAATGAATAAGGGCTGTGAGATGGTGAGAGAAGAAAAAGGTTGTGACTAAAACGGCATGTGCACATCAGCATGGGGACTTTCACAAGCACTGCTCTTTTATTTGCTTTGGTAAGACGTGGAAGAAAATTTCACATTACAGATTCATCAGCCCTGACCATGACGAATCAGAACTGTGGCACGCTGAGCTGTGTTTCCATGTGTGCAAGCATGGGCAGTATTACTTCCACAGTTAGCTGAATAATGTGTATTCTCTCCCCACATGGATATATTCTCCTTAGGCCCACAACAACTGTCCACATAAACCTTTCTACCTCACTAAGACACTGCTTTCACTTTTTTTGTCCTTGCTCTGTTTGTCGTTCTCTCACACTCTCACAAACAATGACTCATGGATAAAAACACAAAAAAGTCAGACAACTGACACGCTGCTGCACTAATAACAAGAGGCACGTGCGCGCAAGTGTAACACAAAACAAAAGAGAAGAACTGCAGGATATGATTATCTATTTAATTTCTAAATATGCTCTCTAATGAAATTATTCCGTATCTGCATTCATCTGTGTTGAAAACATACAAACATATGTGGCAAAATCTGGTTTTGACCCTGTCAATATGTCTTAATATGAATGATAGCAATCATTGGCAGCCATCTATCAGGCCAGACCATATGTAGCTTTGGGTGGGGAGGGAATGAGGGCTTACCACAAAGCCTGCCTTATCCGCTGGTATTACAGTCTCTAAGAAAGGATTTAGTCTTTAATTCTTGATTAGATAGAATTTTCTCCACAGTGTGCAAGTGCAGTGATACACCAAGCTCAGATAACCTGCCCAATTGGGAAAGTGTGTTTGCAAGTCCTCTGGCATTGTTCCCTCTCTGAGAGACACACACATGCACACTTAGACACACATCAACCCAGGACCCCTGCGTGCCATCCCATTTAGCTGCTGGGCTTTTAACACATTGTGATAGAGCTATTATTAGGAGCAATGGATTATCAATCAGGAATTAATCCTGACTGATGTGCTTGACCCAACTGGAAAAGGACCACACTCGTTGCTTCACTGTTCATCTGTGTTCTCATTTGTTTTCTTCAGGAGCTGACATGAGAGATGAGATGTTTTTTTCTGTTTTGTGCTCAAACTTTTGCCAGCTCCTGCTTCTCAGGACACGAGGCGCTCGCTGAGGGAGGCACTGGTCTGTCTAGCTAATTCATTCAATCATCTTCCTCTCCTTCGTCTCTTTGCCTGACTGGCTGCTGAGCTGACTTGACTCCCTGGATGGTTGGCTCCCTTTCTCACTGGACTCTCACTGGCAGTTCGCTCACACGCTGCGCGAGCTTCGCTGAGATAGGGGTGGAGAGAGACAGCTGGGCTGCTCCGTGTTTGGAAAGTGGGATCTTTGCTAGATTTCTCTTTGTGCCTGGTTTGGTGGAGTATTAGATGAGAGCAGGGAAAATCTGTGCCTAGCTGTCCTTCAGCGCAGACCACTGACTGTCACTACTGTGCTGCATCCATGACTTTACATACCTGGCTGGTGTATGGGTTTGGATTTATATTGGTTTGGACACTCTGCTTTGCACGAGGTAGGTAGGATGTATTCTTTGGTATAAAAATATGTGTTGTGGGTCTTTTAGAGAAAAGGACCAAATGAGCAATGTGTGTTTGTGTCTGTGGGTTGAGATAGAGGTGGGGGTGGAGGTGTGTGTTTGTGTGGTTGGGGGGGGCTTGCGACCTAAAATCCAAGTACATTTGCAATGTCTTCCCATATCTTGGCAAGGACCCCAATCGTCCCACTGTTTGTGTGTGTGTGTGTGTGTGTGTGTGTGCATGGAGGTGTGTGTTTGTGTGGGTGTTTGTGTTCATCACTTTCCTGTTCTAGTGTTCTGGGTAAACCACGGCCTGAAGCGTGCCCTGGGTCCTGCCCTCCTCCTTTTCAGTCTGTTTGCATCCATTGGTGCTGCTGCTCAGAGTTCTGTCCATACTGGTTCTGGCCCCAA